TTTTTAAGTTATCCTTATTTTAATTAGCATAAAAAATAATTAAAATATTTTTCAATGAATAGTGCACATATCAAATTTAATCCATTATTGATCAAGAAGTCTCAATAAGCCGGAATGAAAAATCAGCCTGTTGAATAATTTTCCTGTTAATTATAATTTAATTTAGATAATTAACATTAGGTGTGGTTCCAAAATGTAATAACATAATTTTTTTTGTACACATAACTAAATTTTTAACTTATGTAATATTATCAATTTGCCAGTACTAAATAAAATTGCCCATGTCATTTACGAATAATTGTAGTAAATTTTAAATGCCTTACATTTTATTACTCTCTATTGTATATATTTTATTACTGGTATTGTCTATTGGTTTATTAAAAATAACGTATTGACAAAAATATTATATTTTCTTTCGATAGGCCTTGAATTAAATATAAAAAATTTATTGTTAATTTTAATTTTATGTAGAAATTCGTGTATATATTTTTCGATTCAAACTTATTTTTCTCCAACATTAAGTAAAAAAAAGTTTTTTATAATAATTAATTTACATCAATATATTAAATTAAAATTGAGCAATGATCGCATTACCCTTTTGTATATTTATTTTTTACATGTCCAGTTATTATAAATTTATTAAATCATATTTTTCTTCTAAAATATTTTATTTTTCGTGTAATTAATTCATTTATATTTAATAGTACATTGTTTATACGATTCTGTCAATAATATGATCTGTTTTATTGTATACATATTAATAAATAAATAAGATATATAATATATTATTTTAATTGAATATCCTTGAAATATAACGTAATAAAATTATTAGGAAGAACAGCTTACTTTCCGTTAACCAGTTATATAAATTATACTATATTATTTTTAGCATTTTTCTCGTATATATTATATATATTATATATTATATATATATATATATATATATATATATATATATATATATGTGTGTGTGTGTAAAATTTTCAATAAGATAATTAATATTAATTTCCAAAGAGTATAGAAAATTTAGCTAATAATTTTCTTCACTAGAAAGTATTGAAACGATTTTTTGTTTAAACATAATTTATTTAATTTCCATTTAAAACCAACATGTGACAAATATATTAGTGTAATGATTGCAATTATGCTTTCAGATTATAACATAAAAGCCATTGTTAACAAAATGTTCGATTAGATTAGAGAATGACTCGAGTTTTCTGTCAACAAAAAAAAGTTTACTATGTGCAAACAAAAAAAATAAAACAGCAAATAAATACTTTTTGAAAGTGTATTTAATTTATGAATTTAGACAATGAGTAATACTATTACAGATGGCATGATTCACACTAAATGTTATCTTCTAGATATAAAAGAAGGCATAATATTTAATTTGATGCATGACTCATGCAGTGTGGTGCAATTTTGGCCATTTTTTCGAATGGTAAAATTTTCAATTAGAAAAAAAATGTCTAAGTATGCACAAATTAATTTCAAAGCTTTACATTTATTATAAATAAAAAATAACAAAAACCTAAAATAAATACTGCTGTACAGTTTAATCATTTATTTCCAAAGTGAATCCTCATCGATTTTTATGGAAATCGAAATAAGTATAGATTTTCATATAAAAACACTCAATGAATTGAATGGTGCCGTGAAAATAAGTATATATCCAAACCAGTTTTTTCCCCCAAGGAATGTAATAAAACCGACATTTATTAAGTATCCCAAAAAAATCTATCAAAAACTTTTTTAACCATATTACTCTCTTAAAAATAAACTTATTTTATTGCAGCGTTATTGCAAACAAAATATTAATTTTTTTAGAAAAAATTTATAATTCCCTCTTACCCTCCCTCCCCCGAATCTCATACTATATTTCTCTCCATACCAAACCTTAATAAACGTGTCTTTAGTTCAAAAAAGGACCTTGAACTTTGTTTCATTCCAAAAAGAACCTTATATAAGTCTCAGTATTTTATAATTAATATTAAAATAACCAGAGTTTTTCCAAAACATGTACTAAAGATAAAGAATTTCATATTTCTATACTTAAAAATATTGGTTTTGATATTATAATTTGATATTCGTTATATTATTATTATTATTATGAAATCTCACAAAATATTTCCATTAACTTTATTTATTTATTTTTTTAAATTTTAATATATGCCTGAATCAATGTATTAACAAGAGGGAAAGTAAATCGATATTTAATTTTTTATTTAGAAATAATATTTTTTAATATAAAAAAGTTACATATTATTTCTAGTTAACAATAGATGGTTCCTATTTTTCGGAAACTATATAAAGAAAATGTAGACTGTATAACATAAAGGCAATATGAATTTTTAGACAGTAAATCCTATTTTCTTCTTCAGCTGGGAAAACTATGACTCCGAAAATCCATACAGAAAAGTTATGACGGAAAAAAACTTTATTTGCGAATAACCCAAAAAGTATACACTTTTATACCCATGATTATTTAAAATATTGCTAGATTGCAAAAAAAAAAAAATATTATTATTATTGAGATATCATTAACAAATATACAGCTTATTATAATTTCTAAAAATGTTGGTTTTAAATTGTAATAAGTTTTAAATTATTTTCATTTACTTGGTCGTTTATAATTAACGCGGAAATGAGAATTTTTTTATTTATTTCTTATGATACATCACATTATTTTAATTTTTTTTCATTGTTATCTTCTACTATTGTTATTAACAATTCGATTCAATTTGTCTTTTTCTGCAATATTTAAAAAATCGTTATTCTCATAGTTTTTATTCACAAACCATTGACCTTGAAAGATAATTATGTACTAAAAAAAGAATATACATATATATATATATATAAATGCACAAAAATTCAAAGCTCAGCAACAGCACGAACTTATCAAAAATCTAATTAATATATTTAGTTTATCTTCGTTGGCAGTTTAAAATTATTATAAACATGATGCACAATAATCATTTCTGTGACCTATGTTTTTTTTTTTATATCGTCACCCACTCATAAACAATGACAATTAGCGGGTCTGCTGTCGGCAAGGGTTTAGGTAGTGACTTGATCAGCGTGAGGGAGGAATGCCCAGCGGCATCCCTTCCTGGCTCGAATTTAGCATATATTTAAGCGAGTAAATCCCTCATCCAGGTTCTTTTGAGCCTCCCGAGTGTGTTTTCGGGTTTGTTAAATGTAGCCATACTTTGTATAAGTGAGTTAGTATATCAATGTAACTGTTGGTATTTGAAAATCTTTATGTAAACGTTCCTGACGTATCATGGAGCTTTAGTTATGGTCCTGAAAGTTTTTGACTGAAAATTTTGTAGTTTTCATCTATGGATCGTAAATTTATGAAGCATAGAGCCATATGGGCTTAAGTAGGTAAATGTAAGTATTCAATTTTTTAGATTTATTTTCAGCGTCTTGAGAGAAGTGAGTATAACAGTCGTAGAGGTTTAACGTTTTTATTTTTTTGTTGATATGTGGACCCCATGTCATTCTCCTGTCATATGTCAGTCCAAAGTATTGTATTTTATCTATTTGAGGCATTGTTAAGATAAATAGGGCGCTATATTTAATTGGTAAAGAAAAGTAAATCTCATGAACGTCACGGTCCATTATAGAACATAGATTTTATAAAATATCCATGCTTGAAAAAGTATGTTTGATATTAAGAAAAATTGACAAATATTTTGGAAGATTCTCTATTTACAGCTGAACAGTTTTAAGTACATAAGACTTATATCATTCATCAATATAAATAGATTAAAATAGGTCTATCAGTATCAGTACAGGTATTTATAGCCTCATCAACGTCACGGTTGTCATCAGTATAGTTTGAAAAAGCGAAAAGAATTTATATTTTATTCCCAGAGGTCTAGCATTAGTCTACAGTTGGTGCTGGACTTTTGAACTGAATAGTTGAATGACACGATTTTTGTTACACCAAAAATATAAAAAAATATTCTATTCATCTCTCATGAGCGTCACAATGTTTTAAATCAAATATTACAACACCACGTGATTCCTTTTATATTTTTAAAATTGTGAGTTAGTTGCTGTAGGTTCGTCTATTTTTGCGTAAATATTAGATCAAAGTTAAAGAACAATATACTATTAATTGAAACAATTTCTTAACTCATGAACTCATGAATGTTACACAGCTAGTCAAATTAAGCATATAGTCATATTATACTGATTATTTTGTCAAGGTTAATTATAAATAAATTTTCATTATTAAATATTTTATTTATTATCTTATAAATTATTATTGCTATATATTCATATCTATACCTAATCGAAATTATCATTTATATTTTATATAATCTTATAGACCTCATATATTGCCTTTTATTATATATTTATTTCATTACATTATCATTACGTTATAATTTATTATATCTTTATACTATATTGAATTATTATAATTGTGGATTAATGGTTGACTGTCGTGAATAATGAAGAGAAGAATAGTTAGGGTAGTCAGTCATTTTGTTTAATTCATCATTCTACACTTTGTAACGGTTATTATTATTTATCTCTTAGTTCTTACTATTGTCATTTTTCTACCCACTTAATTTTACTTTAATATTTTTTTACCTACATTATTTGTGTTTTCTCATACCTTGTTATCTGGTTCTTTTCTTAGCTCTGAACTTCAGGCCGAAACGTCGGCAAATGTCAAAATAAATATTATTATTTATTTTGACCTTCTTATTACTGACTGACCACCCCAACTATTCTTCTCTTTAGAAATGTTAGAAAAAAAAATAATGCAAACAATTAAAAATTATTTACTTATTTTTAATGGCACCGACCGATGATAGATGTTGTCATTTGGTCGGACCAAGTTGTAATTATTGGTAAAAAAAAACTAATCGATGTCTAGAATGGTGCTAGAAGACATTTCAGTTGTTAAAAGTTTAATTTTTGACATTTAATTATAGTCCGACAAACTACTATTTAACACCATGTTGGTTCATTTATTTTGAAAAATGGCCGACGTACCTACATATAAGTCCTGTTTTAAATGTACCCCTTTTTGCAACTTCTCCCAGATCTCTCCAGAGGGCTGTACTACAGCTCCTGTTGCCAAGGCGAGCGTTCCTGGAAGGAAAGTGTGGCCAATCCTTTTCAAGAGAATCGGTTACGTCGTGCTAAGTGACATCGGTTTGAAAAATCCGACTTTCCAGTTAGCCAGCCGGAAAATACCAGAAAGTTTACTTGGGCGGATTCGAGGAAATCTCACACCAAGACTAATTAGTAGTCAGTTTAATCTGCTTGTCGAAGATGCAGAAACATTTCTATCATTATTGCCTTCTGTATCTGACAACTTAATTTCAATAACATTTTAGTGTAAACTAAATTGAAATCAACAAGGAACTCTCAACAATATCACTTAATTTAATGATTATGACAGATAGAACAGATGTGCTAATTCCTCAGACAGATAAACTTCCATATTTCGGACTGACATCTGATTGAAGAGCAACATGGCGCCCACATATCAAGAACAAAACAAAAACTCAGTAATAAGTACGTCGATAACATTGCGTAAAGACCTACAGATGCTACCGGTTAACGACCACCAATTAAATAGCTAAAAAAAAAATTTCACAATAACTTATACGGACATACTAACTCACTGATTCAATATATGACCAATAGTCCTAAAGTTCGTGGCAAAAAAGGTGTCATATTTAATGTTAAGCCTTATATATTCATCATATCCACGGGCCTGATGAAAAAAATGCACGTCGGCTAGCATATAGCCGTTGGAATACAAAATGGTAGCTATGTGAAAATCGAGAGAGCTTATAAATATATAAAGCTACCAATCCTTTCAATTTATAGTATTTATAGTCTTAAGATATGAAATGATTGTCAGTTACCTTATACTCGTGCATTTCAAGTCGAAAAATTAAATTTTGCGATTCAAAAGGTTTACTTTTTTTTGGTTCTTCACTTATATCAGTGAAACTTTGCGTTCTATCTATAATAATGTCATATGTGAAATTAAATCTGACAAAATTCGCAATATAAATGGTTATATTAGTTTTTTTCGCTATATTCTAGTTTCCATGATATCCCTCCTTTTAATTCACTAATTTGGAAAAAAAAATTTTTTTTTGCATCACATTTTTATCATTATTCGAATCGTCAACACTTTATCTTTTCATTTTACGAAAAAGACATGAGAAAAAAGTTGTTTAATATTAATTTTTCTTTAGGAATACACATTACTTTACTATCTTATCTTGAACCATTCAGAGGCTAGAGCAATTATAACATAATGATTAAAGTCCGAAACTATGTAGAAAAATTTACTTTCCGCAATTTTTGATATTAATCAACTCTTAATCTGTATATAAGACAACGTACAAGTGTATAAATTGGCTTACATAACACACACACACACACACACACACACACACACACACACACACATATATATATATATATATATATATATATATATATATATATATATACTGTCATATTTACAGATTAAGAGAGCTGTGTAATAACAAACATTGCAAAAAGTAAGTTATTCTTTATAGTTTCGGAGTTTAATCATTAAGTTATAATTATTCTAGCCTTCGAATGGTTGAAGATAAGATAGTAATGTAATATATAATCTTGAAAAAATTTAATATTGAACAATTTTCTAACTCATAGCTTTTTGGTAAAATTAAAAGATAAAGAGTTAGCGAGTCAAATAGTGATAAAAATGCGTCGCAAACATTCCCTCTCCCCCTCAATATTAGTGAATTCCGTAAACTATAGAATATAACCATTTCGATTGCAATTTTTTTCAGCTTTAATTTCATATATGACATTATTATAGATAGAACGCATAGTTTCACTGACATAAGCGAAAAACTGAAAAAAGTAAACTTATTGATTGAATATTAAATTCAATTTTTCCACTTAAAATCCAGGGGTATGGGATAATTGACTATTATTTCATGTCTTAAGACTGTAAATACCATAGATTGAATGGATTGGTAGCTTTATACATCTATAAAGCCCTCTCTTTATATATACGCTTACAACCTATGTAAGGTCTCTATCTATCTTCACATGGTCGCCATTTCGTATTTAAGCGGCTACATGCTGGCAGACTTGCATTTTTCTCATCATTCCTGTGGATAGGGTCAATTTATAAGGACAAAGCTTAATATAAAATATGACACCTTTTTTGGCGCGGGCTCCAGGACTATACAGCCAACATACTCGAATACGCGCTCAGGAGCCTCAAAAGAAACTGGATAAGGGATTTCCTTCATTAACCGTAAATAATAAAATTAAGATAGGAAGATACGCCGCAGGTCACTTCACTCCCTCATGTCTTCCAATGAATGACTTACTCCATACTCTAATTCCCGACAGCACATTTGGTAGTTGTCGGTATCTCCGATAGGTGTGAGATGAAAAAGGAAGTTAATAAAAACTAAGCTGTGTGCTTTCGACCACAGGATAAAAGTGAAAACACCAACAAGGCGAGATTGATAATATGAAATATAAATTATAAATAATAGCTTATTTTAAAGGGAATGGAATGCCTGAACGTTCTTCTCGGTTACAGTATCCAATTCCGAATTTTAATTTTTGAGTTATTTTAATCCGTAATCAAAACCACTTCAAGCGTTGCACATCGGAGATCTATCGACTCAATCTAATTCACTCTCCACAAAAAAGTGCAAAACGCGCCTAAAGAAGTTCTCACTTAAAAACAAATTCGTTAGGTAGTTTCTCTTACATCTCAGACACATACCTATCTTAAATATGTAATTACAGTTTCGTTTGACTTTTGAGCTAAGCTGTTCATATTCGCAACGATCATTTTGGAAACCTCGTTTAAACTTTTAAACAAACGTCGTTTAATGAGTGAAGTGTGGCAGCAGTGAAAATGTGTAAAGGGAGCTATATTTATTTTATTTATATATGCAATTCTCAGATCTAATAATAATAATATAATTCGTATTCGATAATTCAATTTTTTTTATAACTTATTTATTAAAAAATATTACAATCTGTCTCAAGAACATTTATGATAGTGCTCAGAGATCACATTCACACTCTATGTACAATAAATAAAATAAATTATACAGAAAAATACATTAAATAGGAACAAATCAACCCAAAAACAAATAAATAAAAAGAGCACATACATACCTATATACAATATAATTTAATTTAAATTAAAAATTTATTTGATTAAATTTTCGGGAATTCTGAGGTTACTAAATGGTCTAACCTCAATTTTATCAAATTCGTCTATTACTTTCGCTTGGGTGTGCGGTTTTTTTTCTTAACGAGACTATTTCAAAAACTGCATTTTTTTAGAATATTTTTTACTCAAACGACAAATCCTGATTCTTGTGATAAAGTTGTTTAGGCTGTCATTAAAAATGGATCTTTTAAAGAACATATGATAATATGTACATATGAAATAAAAGAGAATTAAAAATTTCCAAACAAAGGGAGGTTATCATCAAAAACATCTCATCATACAGAGAAAATTAAAAAGCAAATTAGTTGAATATTAGACTTATCCAAAATATTTAACGTTTCAGAAAAAAAGTTATTTAAATTTCTGTGAGTTCTATAATTAAAAGCTTTGTTTAACTTCTGTGAAATATGTATATCTTCAAATATCTTTTATTTAGAACTATTATTTTCTTTCCGTAATACGCATACATTATAAAAATGAATGATAATGTTTCAATACTAATTTTTATCATATTTAAATACATCAGACAGCATTAATGCTAAGATTATGCTGTGTTAGGCTTTTTCTGTTAATATTCCTGCAATAACCTAACATTAAAGGCTATAGTATTTTTTTTAATGTAATGTGAATTGTGGTGTAGAATTTCATAGAGTGTTTTCAGATTGTTGCTAGGTTAATATTTTATAATCTGATATATAGCTAATTTGATTTTTAATTTTGTGTAATCAGCTATTCATGATTATAACTTTTCTTGATTTATGTTTTGTATTTTCTTTTGTACTTATTATTATTTCTTTACTTCGTATTGTTTGTATTTTTTTTTTCATATTATTATACTATGGTTGGTGATTACACGTTTTTTCATATGTTCCTTTTTTTCTGACCAGCTGTTTAAATATAACCTTTCTTAGACTTGTTACCTCCCCTTTTTTTCGGTATGTTTTTGGTTATCTTGGAGTGATTTTTTTGGTCCTGATGATATTTGAATTGGCAAAACATTGACGTGTTTTTATTATTAACCTGTATTTTATTAATACAAGACTGTGTTGTTGGATTTTTTCTTCGATTTATTAAAAAAAATAGCTAATAATATAAATTTAAGATTTTAAAAAAAAAATGTCTACTATAAAATTCACAGACAATACTCTAGGAATCATTTAATAAAGTATGACTAGTTGAAAATTTGCCTGAAAAATATATTAAAATTAAAAATCTTTTGGAATAACATATAAAGTATCTTGCATGAAATATATTTGTGTTACATAGACAAACACACACGTATACTTTCAATGATACATGAACTCCATGCATTTTAGAGATCAGATCAAAAGATAAGTTAATTCTGTTGAGATATTTTTATTCTTTATGAGCAATTAGTTACATTAAGTATAATTGTTATTTATTCTGCTTGAGATCTGGAAATCCCTTTGACTTTCCGAGTCTCTGGCAACAAAGTCAATTTGTTGCTAAAAATAGCTTCTTCCTCGCTTAGTTAAATTATTGACAAATTACATTGCTCCCTTTTCTGTATAATAAAGTGATCAAAAAGTCATTTTATAGACTTATTATTTTTTTGTTGTTATAAATGAGCTATTAAAAATAAAATAACCTATAGAATTTAAGTAGGACAGGCATCAGTGATAATATGATTTTTTTGTTGGTCAGTCAAAATTATTTAAAAAAAAAATCAATATTTCTTTTGGAAATTTGTATATTTAAACATTAATTATACCTATGGAGAATTTATTTCTCTTATTCGGTTTAGAATAAATAAATATACTTAATTATTTAGTATGATTGTAAATACAGTTTTTTTTTTTAAATATTTTAGAATGTACGCGAAATATAAATTATATCTATTAACGATTTTAATATTTGGCCCTTGAATTTTGGGAACATTCTAATTAAGTTTACACACACACACACACAAAAATAGTATTCAGAATTTAAGATGTATTTTTTTATTTTTTTACATCATCTTTCTGATTCAATTACTCTCATATGATCTTGTTAATTGTTTATAATTATTTACATCTGATGATTGTTAATAATTATAAATGATGAATTATTGTTGCAATTTAAAAATAAATAAATACTTTAGAATAAAAAGTAGTTATT